CTCATTCTACGTGAGAATATTCTCATTCTACGTGAGAATATTCTCACGTAGAATGAGAATATTCTACGTGAGAATATTCTCATTCTACGTGAGAATATTCTCATTCTACGTGAGAATATTCTCATTCTACGTGAGAATATTCTCATTCTACGTGAGAATATTCTCATTCTACGTGAGAATATTCTCATTCTACGTGAGAATATTTTCATTCTACGTGAGAATATTTTCATTCTACGTGAGAATATTCTCATTCTACGTGAGAATATTCTCATTCTACGTGAGAATATTCTCATTCTACGTGAGAATATTCTCATTCTACGTGAGAATATTCTCATTCTACGTGAGAATATTTTCATTCTACGTATTTTCATTCTACGTGAGAATATTCTCATTCTACGTGAGAATATTCTCATTCTACGTGAGAATATTCTCATTCTACGTGAGAATATTCTCATTCTACGTGAGAATATTCTCATTCTACGTGAGAATATTCTCACGTAGAATGAGAATATTCTACGTGAGAATATTCTCATTCTACGTGAGAATATTCTCATTCTACGTGAGAATATTCTCATTCTACGTGAGAATATTCTCATTCTACGTGAGAATATTCTCATTCTACGTGAGAATATTCTCATTCTACGTGAGAATATTCTCATTCTACGTGAGAATATTCTCATTCTACGTGACTTTACCGAAAGAACCAAGAAGAGTTCGGATGATGTCATTGACCTGCGCGTGCTCTCTAATACCACGTGTCCCTCTTTCTGCATCATTGTAATTCCAAACATGCATCTCTCTCTCTCTCTCTCTACGGTTCTTTGTGCAATTTTCATTGTTTTTTTTTTTACCACGCAGGCGTTCGCGACCAATATCATTATTAATAACTTTTTTTGTTGAGTCATAAACCCATCTCGCCTCATGAAGCTGGTTGTAATCACCAGCAAAACGTCCTCAACTCGAATTTATAAACGTTGTGGGTTTACTCTCCAACACACCGGTGTGCTGAAATAGTAACCAACGTGCACGTTCTTGTTCTCGTGGCGAACCTTACTGAGTGGCTGCGTCGGGTGGAGGTGGGTTTACGACACATTCCTAATCACGCCATCGAACCCAAAACACTTTTCGGCTTTTGTTCTGTATGTTTTGCTTGTATCCGAACCGCATGTCACAGCAGGAATGTATGTTGAACTTCTTTTGCACCGTACGTAGCCGACCGTGCTAATGGGAGGCCCGCTTGGGTAAACACACGCAATTGGCCACGCTCATTAACATCCCGGTGCTGCTGAGCTGGTGGTGGAAAATCCACATTCCTATACCGGGAGCATGTCCATCTCCATCAAGGCCACTGTTGACTGCCACGGAGTGGCATATCATTTTATGGACACCAGATCTATGTTGATGAAGGTGATGATGATGATGCTACTGATGGTGATGATGGTGATATGGAGATGAAGATGAATGGCTATTATGGAGATGGTGATAATGATGATGATTACTAATGCACGACTATGAGCAGTGATGATGTTGAAGATGATAAATGATGATGGAGATTACGATGCGGAAATTAATACGAGCTGATTATCGAACCGATGATTATGATGGTATAGATGGAAATGGATAAAGGTGATAATAAATGGATGATGATGATTATGATCATTGTAATATTGGTGATTTAGATATGATTGCAGATCGATAGAGATGTTGATGCTTCTTGGTGGCTCATTAGACACCAAACTGGCAATATTAATTCATCCATTTCGTGTTCAGTCCGTACGATTTAAGTCCATACATTACCGTATTACAAACACAAGGTGATCATACCTCACATTGCACGCGCACTTCTGTAGGGGTACGTTATGCACACGATGATATCACCCTGAATGCACCGGATTTGAGAACATCAAATTAATAAAGCGAAGCATTTCTTAAGCCTGTTCAGTAATTGAACGGCGGACCGCCTAGGGCCTGGACTGCGAGACCGCCAGTGGATTGATTCTAGATTCTAGAATCTATCTGTGTGGCGCTTTGTGCCCCATTATCTTCTCGTGTGCACGGTGGGGGCTTCTCTGGGCGCGGTGCTCCGGTTGACCTTCCGCGTGAGGTCAAATACCCGAGAGTGGACATGGCCAAGCGTCCGAGCACGTGTGGGACCCCTCCGCAGTGGATGCTTCAGTATCGTCATTTTATCGACGACTCTTGCGTAACCTCTCTGCAGGAGAGAGAGATCCCCGTTGTAAAGCGTTGTGCGGCATCTCGTGTTGCTCTACTGTTGCGATGCTCCGCGTCTTATTTTGAAACGTAGAGCAACAGCAATGAAATGCAATACCGATTTGCTTGTGTGTTTGTGTGACATCGACTGCACCTGAGGACGCACGCACAGACACACACACACGCACATGCATGGCAAAAAAACTGCCGTTGCAGACCATTCATTTTGGTTTGCGACCACAGTGGCAAGCGCCGTTAGCGACTGTTCACAAAGTGCGTATTCGTCAAGGCTGGCATGGCGAATGTGCTAGAGCAGTGGTTCTTAAACCTTTACATGCAGCCTTTGGTTCTCAACCGTAAAACATGTTATAATGTTAATAAATACACAGCGGTTTGATGACACAAAGTAAGTTGTACTTACGTGCCTGTGCTTAATTTGTGTTTTCGATGAAGGGCATCTCGCACACCCAGCGGGTGGCGTTCACTCCGGGTTAATGAGAGGGTGGTGGGGCCAACGATTCGCAGGTCTGGCCATCACCTTTGCCTCGCCGTCGCTGGTGTTGTTAAACCGCAGGGCCTTATTGAAGTGTAGCGCGTGGATTAGAGAGGGCACAGGTTTGTTAAATGCACCACGCCTTCAACACTCTGGGTCAACCTCGCAGCAGCGGGTTTTAGGCTCGCCATCGAACAAAGACGGTCACCGCGTAGCGCGTGTTCAGATGCGCTTCCGCGGCCGTCTGGAACGTTCTCCCTTCCGATATTAGGAAGCCACTGGGAGCTAGGTACTTTTAAATGTAGATTTAATACTCATTTCTTAAGAACTGATTTTTGTGTTTAGTTTGTTGTCCTTCCCCCGCACCTCCGACTCGCACGGTTGGCTGCGTATGGTACGAAATAAACGCAACATACATGCATACAACATAAGTTAAAGACACCTTTAACGACTTGAACGGGTGATGCCCAGTGATCGAAACTAATGCCCGAGAAGTAGTCAGAGATGGGAACCCGCCCGAGAGCGTTTCTACCACACAGATGGAGCATTTAAATCGGCCTGGGGTGCAGCAGCTGGATGGACTGTGGCTGGACGCGACTGTGATGACTCGGGGAGTCCTTCATCCAGCAGAGGGTAGATCGTGGCTGACAATGATAAAAAAAACACATTTAAACATGTATGACAGACTGACGTTTTAGGCAATGGCTCTTCTTCAGCGCTTGCGCACTGCTGCTCATGCACCCAACCTTGATCTTTTGTTGTTCACAATTTCAGCGATGCTGGGGAATCGTGGGGAGAATCTACGGGCAGGTGGGATGTTTAGGCTGGCTCTACGGGCAGGTGGGATGTTGAGGCTGGCTCTATGGGCAGGTGGGATGTTGAGGCTGGCTCTACGGGCAGGTGGGATGTTGAGGCTGGCTCTAGGGGCAGGTGGGATGTTGAGGCTGGCTCTACGGGCAGGTGGGATGTTGAGGCTGGCTCTAGGGGCAGGTGGGATGTTGAGGCTGGCTCTATGGGCAGGTGGGATGTTGAGGCTGGCTCTAGGGGCAGGTGAGATGTTGAGGCTGGCTCTAGGGGCAGGTGGGATGTTGAGGCTTGCTCTACGGGCAGGTGGGATGTTGAGGCTGGCTCTACGGGCAGGTGGGATGTTGAGGCTGGAATTTTTGTTTGCTGCCATTTGGCAGAATTTGCCCTATCGGGATTTTGCCGGACTGCGCCAAGCGTACTTAAACGTGGCTTAAAAATCTCCGTTCATTAAAAACAAAAAAATAAAAATTAAATGCCGGCGTGGATTACCAGGCAGAGATTATACCGCAGGTGGAACAATGAATAAAGGAACGCTGTGTTTTACTCAAACCCCCATTCCACCACATCGGCAGAAAGTAAACATAATAACTCCACGCCGGTAATCTTGCACAGCATTTAAACTCAAGGGAATGCCGCGACTTGGACCTCCACGACACTGTTTACGTTGGTGAGAGTTTAAAATAAGAATATGGCCATCACAGGTTCAAATCCTAGTCGTGAGTTGACGCAGCCCTCCAGGATTATCAATAATAATAATTATATCAATCGCCTAAGAAAAAGCCTCGCTGAGTATCACTTCTGATTTCCAAGAGATTCCTGCATCGGGATGATTGATTTCCCTTTAATAAGCATTTGACTTCGCGTAGGAGGACACCCCGGAGAACCTGGAGAAAACCCCATGCGTACGAGGTGGTGGTGAGGGTGGTGGTGACACTCAATATCGCCATCTCACGGCTAATTCACAGCTGTACGCTGACCTGGAAATCCCTGATGGGAAACCATTCAAGCATTTGACCAGGCTCAAAGCCTGCTTAGCTTATAATATCTGACGAGACTGAGCGTGTTCAGAGCGATGAGCACCACTTTGTCAGAAGTCGACGTTGACCTTAAAAAAATAGAAGGGACATTTTTTTTTATATAATAGGCAACGTATTACGCACTGACCCTTCTTCATAGCCGTACATGAGATCAGAAACCTACTTGCTGTCCCACTTCCCAAAGGAATTTTATATTAAATTTAAACTTTAGCGCGCATAGAATTTTTTTTACGCACGCTACTTGTCGACCGAGCTGGGACCATAATCTCGCTTCGCTTGAAAAAAAAACCCGGTTTAAGCGGAATTTAACCGAGACCCGGAACCGGACCCAGGGTATTGGCCGTGCCGGCTCAGTGCCTCCGACACGGCCATTATAAACCCCTTGGGACACACGGCATCCTTTCAAGCCGGTAATTTTCCGAGTGATTATTTTTTTCCCTCTCGGGGCGCAGGCGGATCACCGTATGCCGCGTCAATTGGACGAAAACACCAAAAACACCCCCCCCCCACCCCTCCAATAACCGTGAGTTCCGTGCCAGGATTTTATGATGGCTCACGCTTTCAAGTTGTATGCCCGGTTCTATTCTTGTGCACGGTGGCAACAGCAGTGTGTTCAGGAGCTAAATGCCAATGTCGATGTCTCCTGGCCACAACGAGAGGGCTTCAGGAGATAGAGAGAGCTGATTATATAGTTTTGCTCTTCCTCCTCCACGGAAGGAGCGCAGGTTTTAGTGGTGAAGTATTCGGTCCATAGTTTTGGTCTCACGGGCACAGTCGCACTTCTGCGGCTTGTGGGAGCTAACCCCCTTACTGGCATAGCGCACCTGTCAACCCCTTATCATTGCCCTGCCTTATTACAGACTAATTCAGACCTTAATGGTCACCCCGTGCCCTTATACATCTCAACGTTCATCAAGTGCCATCGGAAGGGAGAAACCAAAAAAATAGACAAAAGTATGATCATTATTTGGTCCGTATCGAAACGGCTGTACGCTGTACGGATCTGGAAACTCAATGTCCCTGTATACGAATACGCCATGACCCGTATGGGTTCACAGCTACGAGACTCAACCCTTTGCCTTTGCGCGATGGCTGAGTGCTTCTGTGCCTCGGTTTCTTGAGGTGCTGCTGCAGTCTCTTAGGGGTCCCCCCCCCCCCCCCACGGTGAGTGTGTGGTTCAGTCGGGAGTGTGTGTCAGTGATTTGGTTGACATGTGTGCCACGTATTTTCTTTACACACACACATATATAATGCGTGGTTAGCGCGCACCCATTAAGGTCAGCAAGGAACGTGCCAACCCGCCTGTTTCTCATAGCGCTCGTTGTGAGCACAAACACCCAGGCGCTGCTAATTTTAGGCTGAGTTGATCTAGGAGAATCCCACGCCATGTTCAAGTTGTGCGAGTGAGCGTAGTTTTTTTTTGTCTCAGGGATGTTTTGTTCCCAATCGAAAGTGATTCACTTAAGATGCTAACAATATTAACTAAAACAATTAAGGATGAACGTATGCTGAAACAATGTCGGCATAATGTAACAACACGAATCATGATTCAACAACCTACTTTGTCTTTTATTCTATAACTTATAGAATGTATGGCGCCATGAGGCTGTACATTCGTAAACTCTCGCAGGGCAGTGCCTCGCGTCAGCGTGAGGGAACGTCTTGCGGAATAAGCTACCACCGAACTACTCTGGAGTTTTGTCGATTTAAAGCTTTCATGACTGCAGGGATTAATCGTCGTGGTTCTTTCGGTAAAGTCACGTAGAAGGGAAATAATAAATTATTAATAAAACATAATAAAATAAAATTATCACGACGTTTCGGCCACAACGCAAGCAGCCGTCCTCAGGTGAAGAAACAGAACTGTCGGAAAGACAGCGCTCACCTGAGGACGGCTGCTTGTGTTGTCAAAATTTTATTATGTTTTATTTTTATTATTTTACTCTGGAGATCCATAAACGCCTATGCGCTAAAGCTGCCACCGATTACACCGATGCTAGGCTCACGAACAGCACAGTTTTAAAGCCAGCATTTAACTTGAAAGTGTATCATTGCCCAACTTGCCCGAAAGCTTTACAGACCCAGGCAACAACCAACATTACAAAGCTGTGTTATTGAGTTTCATTGCAAATGGCCGGACTCGTTTTGCCAGCTTTCATCAAAGCACACGAAGTGTCTTTTGATGAGAGAGGGATGGTTGGATGGATGGACGGACGGACGGGACAGACATATTTCCCAGGCGTAAAAAAAAAAAGTAGGCAAATCTGCTCTCTTTAAAATAAAAAAACGAGAACTTTTGACCACAAATTGAATAAACAATAATGACCGCCTGGTGGATGCGGTGGTGGTCGTGGTGGCGTTATTTGACCACCGTCGCACAAACAAAGACAGTGTTGCTTGGAGAAAAAAATATATATATTTAGATAGCTTGCAATGTGAAGAAGGAACGTCGTTATTTGCCTTTTCCTGCAGCCATGACATAAGTTCCGGGATACATATGGAAATGAGCTCGTTTAGGGATGCGTTCTAAAAGGGCAGCCCCGTGAAATTTCAAAGTCGCGTCTGCACTCTAGCGTTTCAAAGGGGCTCGCTGAAATTGAGCCATCATTATGGTGGCAAGTGCATCATGTCTGCGAGCTAAATAACGGCGGCGTAAGGAGCATAGCCTCCCGGTCTCGTGCAATGCATCGCACGAGGTTAGAGGTTCACTTTGTTTACATGCTTTGCTCGTCCTTTGCACGCTGGTATAATGCCCGGCTCGCCACAAATATGAGAGTGTGTGTGTACGTGGAGAGCGATAGTGTAGCGGTTAGTACGCTGCGCTACAAACCCGGTCACCCGAGTTCAATTCCCGCTCACGGCCAACACCATTTGACGATTATCTGAACCGGTCTTGGGCCTTCCGTAGGTCGACTATGCCCGAATGAGTACCTGGTGCGGTGTGTAAACATCGCCACTAGGGGAGACAAATGCGGCCGGGCGTGGTGCTGGCCACCCATCCCGTCATGTGCCGTTCTGGCCTTCATAGGTGCTCGCTAACAGCACTTGCCCCTACAGTCTGTTACAGGCTATATGGGGGGTCTTTGTCTTTGTTTGGAGCGGCAGCACAGCGGCGAACGCTCCGTTCTATGAGCCCGGCGACCCGGGTTCGATTCTCGCTCACGGTCACTAACACCAGTGACGATTATTTGAATCGGTCCTGGGCCTTCCCTAGGTCGACTCAGCCTCAAATGAGTGCCTGGTGCGATGTGCAAACATCACTGTGGAGGCAAAGGTGGCCGGGTGTCGTGCTGGCCACCCACCCGCTCGTGTGTCGTGCCGCCCTTCATAGGGGCTCGCAATCGACACTTGCCCCAACGGTCTGTTAATGGCTATACGGGTGATCTTTGTCTTTGGAGCAGTGACCAAGTGATTCGTAGTGTTTCGCGCACTGTGTTTCAATCACAACAATCTGAATTATATTTCCTGCACCTCCCAGAGGCCAACTCAGCCTTAAATTAGTACATGGTGCAATGTGTAAGCATCGACACTGGGGAGACAATTGTGTTTTTGGAATAGAGCTTGTCACTCCACTCCCTCGTGTGCCATGCCAGCCTTGATAGTTGCTCGCGAACAGCACTTGCCCCTATGGTATATAAGGGAAAAAATAGGGGATCATTATTGTATGTGTGTCTGTGTTTAGATGTGGGGAACGGTAGTGTAGCGGTTAGCGTGCTGCGTTACGAACCCGGTGACGCGAATTCAATTCGCGCTCACAGCCACCACCAATGACGATTAATTATCTGAACCGGTCCTGGGCCTCCTCTAGGTCGACTCAACCTTAAATGAGTACCTGATGCGGTGTGTAGACCAAGCCACTGGGGAGACAAAGGCGGTCGAGCGGAGTGCTGGCCTCCCACCCCTTCGTGTGCCATGCCAGCATTCATAGGTGCTCGCTAATTAGGCTATTCGGGTATTTGTATGTCTTTGTGGAATATAGTGGTATTGGGAGTAACTCACTGTTCTGTCATCTTGGCAACCCAAGTACAATTCCTGACGACGATGCGCAACACCAGTGGCAACTGGCATCTGAAGCTAGCCTGAGTCTCACATCAAGACCTGCTCTGAATGTCAATTGGAACATAAACGATGGTAATAATAACAACAATATATTGTACAAATTTATTTTTTTGTCAATTTTTTTCCACCATTGCATGAAGTGTCCGCTTGGAACTCTCGCAGAGAGCTGTGCATTACCTCGAGTTAGAAAGCAGATTTCACGGAACTATTTCTGAGACGCCTTCAAGTGACCCTCTTTATACACTCCTGTTGTGCAACGCCTGCCCACCGTGCATTGCATGGCAGTCAAATAAAATTCCTGAATTTCAAATTTTGTACACATTAATTGGCGAGATGTTTGCTACCTTGCCTGGTATGCAGGAGCCCGTGGGTTCGAACCCGACCCTGACACATTTTCCATGTCTCTCTCCCCGTGGTCGCTATCATTTGTGGCGAGATCGCTTCTGAAAAAAAGAGCTATATAGCTCAGTGGGCATTACCTGATAAAATAAAAAATAAAATGTTTTTAAAATAATATTCGGGACCACGCGGTTTAAGCACTTATGGCTGAAACCTGAACTCGAACCCAATAACTTAGCAGCGCTGGTTCATAGACGCCTGAGGTGCCCAGCCACCGAGCTCTTCGACATATGAACCTTATGGTGGTACCCCGGAGTACCACAGTACCCCGGATCTCGCACAATGTCTCCGTGATGCGGTCATTTTTAGTCTGTTGATGGTCGGCGATGCGGCAATCTACTCATCTCGACGAGCTGTACTCACGATGCACCACTACGGTGCGTGCGAGCGTTCAGGGTTTCGGCGCAAACGTCCTCGCTGAGTTTCGACATCGCGGAGTGGCACCACTGATCTCGGATTGATTGGCACCCCAGTCGCGGAGTGAAGTACACCCAGAGAAAAAAATAGTGTCCCAGAAATAAAATATTTAATTGACTCGGCCATTTTGTATTATTTGCTACCCCGACGTCATCACTGATGGGTTCACAGTGATGACGTAGTCCTGCTGCTGCTCTATTTAAGACCGGAGGCAGGTGGATGGCTTCACTATTCTGGATGTAATTACCAGCGAAACGTCGTACTACTCAGATTGTAAATGTTGTGGATTCACTCTTCAACACACCGGTGGGCTGAAGTAGGAACTATTTAAAGTTTTTGGCTGTGTCGGGTGGTGGAGAGTTACGACACAACATGTATACTTACGCGATCTAACACAAAAACCTTTTATTATGAATAAAATTGGTCGCGACAGCCGACGTGTTATACTTACCCCCCCCCCCCCCCACTTAACGAAACATTGGTGCAATGTTCATCTACATGGTCAGCAGTGGAAACTCCACACTCCCGTGACGGGGACAAATCTGTCCGACACGACGCGCAGCGTTGGCTCCCCGAAGTTGATAGCCACTCGATGGCACTTGGAGCGGTGGTGGTAGAGTGGTGGAATGAATCTACTACCCACCACCT